CCATATTCTGGAATTAAAATACCTCTATATCCAGCACTTCTGAAAGCACCTTAAAGGACCAGCAATACACAGGACCTGGTACACGATACCATTTGGAATAAATACATGATGTCCATAACAATTTCTTCACACAGCAGTTAGACTTACATTGTGTCTTAGCATGATATTAGTTCTCATTTGTAATGAATACATGATGTCCTTAATTTCTTCACACAGCATTTAGGCTTACACTATGTCTTAGCATGACATTAGTTCCAAGTGTAGTGTGTGGTTCATTGTAATCAAGTATCTACCAAGAATATTTAAGAATGGGAATGTCTAATGTGAACAGAAGGCTCTCAACATTCCCAAACTGTACCTGAATAGAACCATAAGGCAAAGTGCACTCAAGCAGACATTCCATTTCATAATTGGATAAAAACCACAAACAAAGCAAGTCAGCAAAGCACCCCATTTTTTAAAAAAATGGGGTGGGGTGGTATTTTAACCAGCAATGTCACAACTCCAATCTAGGCTTATTTAATCAGATAATCTGTTTGTTACTTTTAAAGTTCATTTAAAGATGTTTACAGGCAGGTGCAGTGGCGCATGCCTGTGGTCCCAGCACTCAGGAGGCAGAGGCAGGCAGAGCTCTGTGAGTTTCAGTCCAACCTGGTCTACATGGAGAGTCCGGGACAGCCAAGGCTACACAGAAAAACCCTGTCTCAAAAAACAAACAAAAAAAGAAAAAAGATCAGTATGTTTATAGAACTAAAATAATAGAAGGCAAATATCTAAATTTGTACCATATTTTTTTGTTTAAGATTTGTTATTTATACAGCATTCTGCCTGTTCACCAGATCTCACTATAGATAGTCAATGTGCCACCATGTGGTTGTTGGGAATTGAACTCAGGACCTTTCTGAACAGTGTTCTTTACCTCTGAGCCATCTCTCCAACCTGATTTGTTTGCACCCTTTTACACAATTCATGCCTAAACATTAAAGCAAATAGTATGGTAATCTAACCCTATTGCTTGGTCAAATTCACATCAAAATGGACCAGAACAGTTGAATAAGCTTTAATTGTTTAAAAAGAAAAAAACCCAAAAAGCAAAAAAACAAAACTCATTTGCTGACTTGGTTCTGTTCCTACTTCTATAACACATTAGCTGTAAAAACTTGAGACTAACAAGATTACTATCTCACATGAATGTTTTTAAAATTATTTTTTTTTAAGGGGTTGGGGAGTGTTCTCTCTCCCAATTCCCATTAACAAAGTAACACAGCATACAGCTTACTTACTAATCTGATTTTCCTTTTTTTTTTTTTTTTTTTTCTTCTCTATGCTTACACAAGTTTGTTGGTGCAGATGCTTGTGCATCTGGGCGGAGGTCATGGGCCAATTTCTGGTGTGCTTACTGTCCACCTTTTTTTCACAGGGTTTCTGAGACCTGGAGCTTACACATTAGGCTAGGTTGGCTGGCTAACTAGCCTCGGGGATCCGAGTATGCTCCAGAAATGCAACTACAATCATGCACAACCACACCAGACTGCTGGGAAGTGGCAAGGGGAGGTTTAGGCATAGAACTCAGGCCCTCAACGCTTGCGAGGCATGGCAACCCTGGGTTTTTGTTGGTGCTTGTAGTAGACGCTTTCAGTCCTTTTTTCTTAAATATCTCATGTTATAGTTATACGATGGCCCAAGTTTCACAGCAAGAAGATTCTTTAAATATTTGTATTATGCTTATCTTTTACTTTTGTATACGTCTGTGTGCACCGAAGCGCAGGTCAGAGAACAACCTTTCCAACACGAGGGTTTTGAACTCAGTTCCTCCACTTGGCGGCAGGCGAATTTACCCTCGGTCCCTGGGCAAAGTGGGCTAACATGTTCACAGTACAAAACTGCCACAAAAGGTGTCTTGGGGAAGTCTTCTACAGAGCGGTAACCGGCAAGGTCAAAGGCGGATGGACAGAGGTGCCTACGCTGGCGGAGGGCAGACGCAGGAAACTCGGCGCCCCGCATCCTCCAGTGGCCTGCCCCAGGCAACATTCGCCAGAGACCAGCCCAGCCCAGGCCAAAGCCTGGTCGCCGCCGCCTCACGCACCGCGCCCTCAGCCGTAGTCCCAAACTCCCATTCAGGCCCCCCGGTCAGCCCGCAGCATCAGAACCCAAGTCGAGAACGGCAAGTCGCGGGGGAGGCCAGGCAGCATCCCAGCCACCAATTTAACCCGGTCCCTATAGCGACCAACTGCAGCAGACGGCTCCTGGCCCGGGCCCTTCCGGTATGACCGGCCCCTGCTTCCGCTTCCGGTCTCGGGGTACGGCTGTCCGCCTAGAAGAGCTTTGCATTGTGGGAACTCTTTCCTTTCTCGTTCCCCGGCCATCTTGGCGGCTGATCTTGGTGAGTGAGCTCTGCCTGGTGGAGGATTGGGGGGCTCCGCAGGTTTGTGTTTGGCGCTCCGGATCATAATCCTCTTTTCTGCCCTCTGTAATGATAGGTTGGGGATTGTCCCGCACCTAAGGCAGGAAGATGGTGGCCGCAAAGAAGACGGTGAGTGGAGCCGACTGGGCCCGGAAGCCGGTTCACGTGGAGAGCTGGGTCTGGGCCGGGGCGGGTAGATGTGAGCACACTGGGTGGACAGCATGCCCCTGACGTTTCAGGGATTCAAGGGGAATCCGAAGTCTCTCTGAGACTTCGAGGGTATTAAAGTGTTCAGTTCTAGAAATCTGGAACTGGATTTGGTTTTGAGATGGCTACAATTGGCGTTCAAGTCTCAAATGTTTGCATTGTAGAAAAAGTCTCTGGAGTCGATCAACTCTAGGCTCCAGCTTGTTATGAAAAGTGGAAAGTATGTTCTGGGATACAAACAGACTCTGAAGATGATCAGACAAGGCAAAGCGAAATTGGTTATTCTCGCCAACAACTGCCCAGCTCTGAGGTAATGGAGGGAACCTGAATGTGTGTAACTGACTGTAAACTTATTGTGGACGAATATCCAGTATTGGGAAGAATAATTAATGACGGTTTTTTGATGCTTGGACCTTGGTTTTGTTTGTGTTATTCTGTAAATGTACCTTTGAAGGACAGTGTGACAGGAGAGATAAACACTATAATGTGTAGTTTGTGTACCCTATTTTTGAGCATCTTTCTAGGCTTGAAGTATTATACTCCATTGCATGTGCCTGTTTTAGTTTAGAAAAGTTTTGGCTGGATTATGGAAGTGATGGTATAAAATCTATTTAGCAGGGTCTAGTTTTCTGAACATGTTTATTCTTGATTAACTGTTTTTACTTGACCCCAGTGAGTATTGTAACTAAGCTAAAGAAACTTGCAGAATATAATCCCTTGATTTTCTGTGGTACACATCTTCAGACAGTTATGTAGGGTGTTTATACTCAGTGGCAGAATTTGGAGTGTTTTGTCTTATTTTAAACCTTTCAAGTTTGTTTTTAATTTATGGCAACATCTGTTGACTCTGGGTCCAGGGTGGGGCATCAGGTTCATTCATAAGCTTGGGGTTCTGTCTGAACAGCCACATACTAAGTGTCAAGGTTCTGTGGAAGTTTCAGCTTTTAATTGTTTGTGTCCATTAACTTGATACTGAAGTGTTTACTCTCTGAGCAGCAGTCTCGGTCACTATGTAGTAGGTGGTTAGGCATCTGAACTTTTAGGTTTCCAGCTCTCCACTTCCTATTCTTTGCCTTAGTTTTTCTTCTTTTTTTTTTTTAATTTCTGAAGTATATAATACCTGTTGACATGAGAAATATATAAAGTTGTAGATGCTAAATTTAACATTGATTTATTTTTAATTGTGTGTGAGAGAGTGAATGCATGTGTCCTTGAGAATCCAGAAGAGGGTGTCAGATCAACTCAGCTAGAGTTGTGAGGTGGTTGTGAGATGGCTGATTTGAATGCTAGGAACTGAACTTCTGTAAGAGCAATATAAGATTTCAGTGAGCCTTCTCTCCGGGCCAACATTGACTTTTTAATGTCTATCATACCGTTTTCTACTACCCTAGATAGCATTATTTTTTTCTTTAGTTTTTAAGTAAACTTATTTAATATTTGAAACATGAGTACAATGTATTTAGAACTGGATGCTACTTAAGTAGATATTCAGTAGATAATTTGCAGGCTACTCTTGTAAAGGATCTGTGATAGTCAGGACAGGCTAGAAAGAATCTCTTGTAAGAGTTGTAAGTGATTTGGTTACTAGTAAAAAGCCTCACCAACAGCTGGGCGCCGTGGCACACCTGTAATCCCAGTACTCTGGGAGGCAGAGGAAGGTGGATCTCTGAGTTTGAGGCCAGCTTGGTCTACACAGTGAGTTCAGGACAGCCAAGGCTACACAGAGAAATCCTGTCTCAAAAACAAACAAAAGCCTCACCAATTTGTGGTCTGTCAATACCTTGGTATGGCATTTTATCTAACTTTTTGTTGTTGTTCCCTAAGGAAATCTGAAATAGAATACTATGCCATGTTGGCTAAAACTGGTGTCCATCACTACAGCGGCAATAATATTGAATTGGGCACAGCGTGTGGAAAATACTACAGAGTATGCACACTGGCTATCATTGACCCAGGTATGCTTTTTAAATCATAAAACATTTTCATTCTAATTTATATCAATCCTTCTTAGTAGTTTTGGTTCCTGAGTTCAGACTATTTGAACTTTAATATTGCAAGAGATATGCCATAATTTTATTTTGTAGAGAATTGATAATGCATGCCAGTACATTGGAATTGGCTGTTCTGTAAATAAAAATATTTTTAACTTTGAGGTAATATTTAATGAAGTGAGTCACCTGGTCTGCAGAGTAAATTCCAGGACAGCTGGGGCCACACAGTGAAATAGTCTCAAATTTCCTCTCCACAAAAAAGTTTGGTAGCGTTGGAAATATTAGGCAAAAGAAAAAGTAATCTTTGTTGCTTGGGAATAAACAGTTTGTGGTGAATGCCTACAGATACATATTGTCTTGTGTTTTGACCTGGGAGGTTTTAGTTGCCTTGTAGAACACTGCGAATATTCTCACTGTTCTGATTCTGTGATAATCAGGACAGGCTAGACATTCGCTATAGTTAAGACCATGCATGTGTCCCCAGACCTAGTTCTTTACCTAGGTCTGGTTTTTTAAATGCTGGTGACAAGCCAGATCTGGTGTATTAGAAGTGTGATCATAGGATGGCTGAGATTATAAGGTATCTTTAATTGGTCTTAAGAGTGACAGCTGCAACTGTAATTTGCACATAGTGCTAATCTGCCTTCTTGGCTAAAGAACATGTGGGGGAATTGTGTGATTATCAGGTGCCATTAAGTGAATTGTAAAATTTTTATTTTATTTTCTAGGTGATTCTGATATTATTAGAAGCATGCCGGAACAGACTGGTGAAAAGTGAACCAGGAAAGTTTTCCTTTAATAAAACTTTACCAGAGCTCCTTTAAAAAAAAAAAAACAAACCAACAAACATTGTGTTCATTTGGGTTGTTTTCTTCCTAACTTTTAGTTCTCTTATACTTAAAAGTAGCAATAGAGTCCTTGAAACCATGGGTCTGGTGGCAAGACCTGGGTGAAAAGTTACACTGCTTAGTTTCCATTTAGCTGGGGTTTTATTTTGTTAAAGATAGCACACTGTATGCACAATGTTTTGGGACCAGAGGTGTTTCCAGCTTTCCAAAGTTGGAATACACATTTCTGTTTATTTAGTATGTCTCTAAATCAGAAGGCCATTTGGTATTTTCTTTGGGTGGGTGTGTTTAGGCTAGAGGTTGACAGATACTTTCCTTTCTCTCTAGCACTTAAACTAGAGTTTGGCAATTCCAGCTAGTCTAGGTACCCAGCTTCCTTTCGGGAATCTCTCCTGTCTCCTAAGTGCTAGAATTGCAGGCTGGTAAACCTGAACATCCACCATTTATTTTACAGGGGTGCTGGAGATTTCAGGTTCAGTCCTCAGACACACAAAAGTGTGTTGCCACTAAGCTATTTGTGGTTTCTAAGGCTTTGTAGGTAGTGGTAATATGGTGTAAGTTTGGTTTTTAATTTATACATGCTTTATGTTTAGTCACTGTCTGCAAAGTGTGTAAATCCAGAGGATTGTTTTTGATTTTTGAGATAGGGTTTCTCTGTGTAGCTTTGGATGTCCTGGACTCACTTTGTATACTAAATTGGCCTTTTTTGTTTGTTTGTTTGTTTTTTTGTTTTTGGTTTTTCAAGATAGGGTTTCTTTGTGTAACCCTGGCTGTCCTGGCACTCTAGGCCAGGTTGGCCTTAAACTGAGAGATGCCTCTGCCTCCTGAATGCTGTGATTAAAGGTTAGAACCACCACTGCCTAGCTGTAGGCTAAAGCTAGGTGATAGGAAACATGCCTTGCTCTTGTGGATTTTTATGGGGTAGCTGTGAGGAAGTGCTGGGGGAAGGTCATAGTCCCAAATCAGGGATGGCAAAAGGTGGCATTCTCATAAAAAAGTAAGATTTTCAGTTGGGTAGCTTCAGTATTCAGGGGATTGTTGGGAATTCTAGCCAGCTGTCTTTAATCTGCATCTCCTGCGCTTCTGCTGGGTATGGAGACAGCTGCCAGAGAAGAGGTTTGGATGTTGACGATGTTAAGTATGCAAGCAACACTCTGTGGCAGATATCCAAAAACTGTCTGACACAATTTAAGCTTGCTATAGCAAAAAAGTCTAACCTATTCCGGTGTTCTCTTCATGAGATAAGCCGTTATAAAGGCTCAAACAATATTTAAGAAAAAAAACTTGTTAGTCATGAATGGAATTGGTTGTATAATGTGGAAGATGGTCATTTTTCTTGGAAAGGTTTTCTCTGGTTCATCTTTGGAACTTTGCTTTTGCCCATGCTATCAAAAGGTTTCCTGTCCCAATCTAGGTTCCACCTAATTAGAGCTCACCTTTTAAAAATTGCATTAGTCCCGTGTGTTTCTCAATAAACCTTAGTCCTAGAGAACTAAGGATTCAGTGTTTTCAACTTTATGGTGCATAAAAATTTTGAGTGAATATTTTCTAGTGCTTACACAGTTCCCAATTAGATTTGTGATATCTAGTCCAGGACTTTTACCTTTTATCTTGTTAATAGTAATTTTTCAGTATTCTGTGCATTTACTATTTAATTTCCTATTCCGTGTCATTCAGAGAGTCAAAGCAAAGAATTCATTTTATCTTCATCTTCCTTAGTGGGCTCCCTAAGCTCCATCTTGTGAGACTGATGATGAAATATATACATATCACAGCTAATATTGAGCACCCTCTTAGAGAATCTGTGGACACTTGTGTACGTAGGATTTGCTTACACACATGCCTAAAACATTTAAGATTTATGTGTATGAGTCTTTTGGTTGCAGTTGGTATATCTTGTGTGCCACTTGCAAGCCTCAAGCCCATTGAGGCCGAGTAGCGGGCATTGAACCCTGGAACTGGAGGTAATAGATTCCATGAGAATACTGGAAACAACCTGGATCATCTGCAAGGACAACTGCACTTAACTGCTGAGCCATATCTCCAGCATAAAGATAGATTTATTTGAGTGTTTTGCCTATGAGCATTTAAGTGCACCATGTGCCCAAAGAGGCCAGGTGCTGCTGTTCAGTCCTCTGGAACTGCAGTTCCAGATGGTTGTGACACATGGATGCTCAGAGCTGAACCTGGGTCCCCTGCAGTAACAGCAAGTGCACTTAATCCCCAAGCCGTCTTTTGAGATTTGGCTATGTATATACTCAATCCTATGACAACCCAACAAGACAGCACTGTGAACTTGATTTTACAGATAACACAAGCCTAAAGAGGTTAGGATCCCCAATGAAATGCTTAAACTAAGATTTCTGATAACACTTGAGGAAGTTTATTTAGATTTATTTATTGTATGCATTTGTGTTTTGTATGTCTGAGGGTGTCAAGCCTGAAACTGGAGTTGTGGATGGTTGTGAGGTGCCATGTGGATGCTGGGAATTGAACCTACCTAGAGCCTCTGGAAGAGCAGCGTGTGCGCTTCAATGCTGAGCCATCCAGCCCCAGGTTAAATTAAAAAAAAATTTAAGGACCTAAAACTTTATTTTCCTTATGTGTCTGCAAGTGAGTATGCATGCCAGATGAGGGCATTGGGTCGATTGTAGCTGGAGTTACTGGTGACGGAGACAGCTATGTGGTGTGGGAGCCTGGGATGTAGTTCAGCAGCAAACACCCAGCCAGTCCCTAATTTAAAATGTGATGGATTAGCTGCAGGTCTTAATGTTTCTCATGAAGCTTGTGTACTTTATCATGGCACTAAGGAGAAAGGGGTAGGCAGTTTTGTGCCACTAAAGGGAGCCTGAAGAAAACTGGAAGCCATGTGGCTTGTCCCTTAATCTTTGTCATCCAATCAATACTTTGCAGTGAAAATTTGTATTTTGAGTCACAACACCTAGAAAGATTGTTCAGGTAAGGTTGAAGCCTAGGAAATGTTCTTCCACTCAGTAACTCTTTGGGAGGACATTGTGTTAAAAACACTTGGATATAGAAGATTAATACCTTAAAATTCAGGCCTTCCATGGGGAAGATGTTAATTTGTCTTCTATAAAGTTCCCCTGACTCGTCTCATTTCCTGTGCTTAAAGTGCATAATTAATATATCTTTGAATAGCTAATCTGTGTGTATGCTCATAAAAATTGCTGCAGTGCTAGGCTTTGTCATTGGAGTTTTTTGGGGGTGGGCAGAGTCTCAGTATATAGATCAGGCTGGCTTTGAACTCATGCCTGTTTCAAATTGTCACTAGCTTTTAAAGTTTTTATGAGGTCTGCCATGTGACTGTTAATGAGTGCCTTCCTCATATACACAAAGTCCTAGGCTCAGTCCTTAGCACTATATAAACCAGGTGCATGGCTGTATACCCCCCTCCCCCCCACCCCTCCGCACTAAGGAGGTGAAGGCAGGAGGATCAAGAGTTTAAGGTCATCCTTAGTTACATGGTGAGTTTGAGGCCAGTCTGGGATACTGGGTTTTATGTCTCAACATGAATATGGGGGTGTGTGTCTATAAATGTATATCTGTGGTGCAGAGTATACAGTTCAATGTTTAGGATATTTCTAGTTTGTTCCTTATACACTAGTGACGTTCCTTTGCAGGTCTCCCGTGTATGTATGTATTTGTTAAAGACAAATACATACACACACAGGATAACATTTGTGCCAAATGGTATCACATAGTTACGATCTGTGTGTTTCCAGAGCCTGTACGCCACATCGGTAATTATCACTAGTCAGACAGTGTTTGTACTGAGCTGATGAGTTTTTTTTAATGGCATTATCTAAACCTGTTTTTTTCTTGATTATAATGGCTTTTTTCATGTATACATAATTTAAAGTGAGGCTGGACTTGATGCCACATACCAGTATTCCCAGGCCTATGGAGGTGGGAACAGGAGAACTGAGAGCTCGAGCAGCCCAAGTTAGAACGTACCAAATAGCAAGATTGCTTCTCATATTTCAACTAGTTATTTTACTCAACACTTTTCTGGAGTGATGGATTTTAATACTGTATAAAAATTGATCTATTACAGAACATAGTTCCCCATGACATGTCTTTACATCAAGGTAAATTCCAATACAAAAAAATTAGCAATTTGTGGAGTCAGTTTTCTGCCAAATTGAGACTCTTCAATTGTCAAATGAAGATTTCGGTGCTAAGGTGGAAGAGGCAGAAGCAAATCATGTGCACAGTATGTTGCAGAACACTGCACAGCTTATTTATTCTTATGGTAAACTCATCTTAGAATTCAAAAGGATTCCTTACCCCCACCTCTAATGAATTTAGACACCTCAGTGTCTCTATTTTCTCCGTAGCCAGACAATCCAGTATCTTCTGTACTGGTTATGTTTTGCTTTCAGGCTCCACTGCCATTGTTGAAATCCTTTTTATGACAGTGTACAAATACACATAAAAGCATTTCTCGTCTTCATCTGTATCGGAGGCGGTTTTCCAAGGCTTCCATTCTTTGTGTCATTTCTTCTAGTAAATCACATTAAGGAAAAGGAGTCTGGACTGTCTTTTAGCTTATAATAAAGTACAACTTGATTTAAGTACTGAAAGTTTAAGGGAAAAAAAAAACTTTGGGATTAAAATTAAACTGTCCAGTATTTTAAAAACCCTTGTACATTTGTAGTAGTT